ATCCATCCATCCATCCATCACATGGTCCAATCTTCTTCTTCCACGCTGGCGTCGCCACCCAGCTGCTTCCGGTCAGGTGTACTGGTGCGGAGACAAAGGATGGCTTCTAGTAAAGAATGAAAACAATACATTCCACAATCCTACTCCTGTCTATTTCCCCCTCCCATTGACTATACTACTGAAACAGCATAATGAAATAAGAGAAAGTGTGGCAGGCCAAAATTCTAAAAGGAATATAATTGCAGGCCTGACAGCACGTTTACAGCTGTGGTGAAGAAGGTTGCTTTTTGGCCAGGCTGGTCCAGTTCAGGACTCTCCTCCTAAGCGGCCTTAAACAAGCTACTTTTAGCTCCTCTTAACCTCAGCTACATCTGGAGCAGGGGCACAATTGTCCGCTGTGTTGGTAAGACACACACAGAGTAGCCAAAGGTGAAAGAAAGGTGCTACACAAGGCTCCCATTTGGCATTCTGCAGGTCACACTGGACGCCTCCTCAGAGCAGTCTTGGGAACCAGCATCCTTTTCCTTCTCGCTCATTTGGTCTTCCAAATATGCCTTTACACTGTGCCCGGCTTGGACCAGCTCCTCGGAAGCAACTGTGAGTACCGCTTTCCTGTTTGACAGAATCTTGATTCGGAGAGAAATGACAAGCAGAGCCAACGGCAGTTGCAGTAAAAATGTAGACTAATGCAATGGGAATTCAGTGCTTGAGAGAATATTGAGCAGGAAAAGGGTGGTGGGGGGAGCAGGAGAGGGGATGCTTAATTCTTCCCATCTATTGGTTTTCTTCCAATCATTATTTTTCCCCCTCTCCACCTGCTTTTTTGTTCTCCCAAACGTCTTGTTTCCAACTGCTGGCCCAAAGAGAAGGGAGTTTTGTACTCCTCAAGTGTGTGTTTAATCCTGTCCAGGGAAATGGCCAACCAAGATGGCTACAGATTAGCATTGACCTTTGAGAATATAAATATTGAGCTGAAGCTGTAACATAGAGCTTGGAAAGCTGGACTGTGAGCCCAGATGTGGCTGGATTGAAAGGTCTGGGACCTGGTCCTGTTTGGAGATCTCTCCTTACCATGGGATCTGCTGGAGGGGGCGGGGAGCCTCCCTTCTCACTTCACACACTAGTATCTGAATTCCCACCCACCCCCACCCAAAAGAACCCCTGGAAATGTTGCTGTTGTTTCCTCCTGAAACTCCCCATCCAGGTGGAAAATTCTGAACCTTCTGAAATTTGCCCTGACTATCCTTCTGAAATGGGGCTTCCTTGTCCCAGCTGAAACCTGTGTTTGAAACATACTTCAAAATATTCCCAAAACATAAAGTTGGTTCCTTAGTGATGAGAAATGTTATGTTATGATTTCCCCCTCTTGCTTCCCCTGCAACTTTCCATACATGGAACGAATTCCTTTATCTGCGGGGGATCTACGTATATAAACTGTTCCCCCCCCTCCCTCCCCTTTGGCAGGGGAGCTGAACCCACAGCTCCACATTGCCATGTTTGGGAGCGTGTTGGTGGTTTACCTGCTGTGGGTCCGTTCACGGCTGCACAAACGTAGCAGAATCAATAGGTTCAGCAGCCACCGGTGGGCCTTCTTCCTAGATGTCAATGGGGCTGATGCCAATCCAGTTTAATTTACTCCAGACCTTCCTAAGCTGCTCCACTTGGTTTCGATGGGTGCAGAATCCCACCAGCCAGAGCCAGATGGGGTCCTAATGGGGTGGGAGAAATGCACGGTGGTGACTCCAGAGGTGAGACGGTGGTCCTCAGCCAGATGCCCTGTGGAAGGAGATACATCTGACCTAGCGTAGTAAGAGAGATGCATTTTAAGATAGAGAGCCAAAATGAGAATATAATCAGAATTTGTGGTCAACTGACTAAAAGTGAGGGGGGGAAAAACAGCTCTACCAATAGATTTGGAGTTTTTTCCCCCCTCTGATTTCCAAAAGGAACACCTGAGGGAGCTTTCAGTTCATCTAGAACTCCATGGGCTGGTCTGCTGTTATTCAAAAACCCTCAGCTATGGGTTCCAGGGGAAAAAAAATAGATGCAGGGACCTTTGGATCCCCAGAGAAAGGATCTTTTATCTTGGACCTCCAGTTTCATCTCTTGGAATCAGCCCAAGGTTGCATCCAATTCATTTTGCCTAAGGATGATAGAAACTGGATCCTCAACGGATTCATTTGATGCCAAGGGAATGTGTTTGAATTGCATTTGAGGTCAGAGCTGGAAGTTGATTTTGTCATTTAAAAAAAAAAAACATTTCTCCTCTTGTTCTTTCCAGGCAGCACNTGTTGATTTTGTCCAGCCCCATCCTAAGTTATGAATGTTGTTGAACTTTTAATGTTGTTTTTTTATTTTTTTTGTATTTCCCTCCCTTTTTTACCTGTAAGCCGCCCTGAGTCTCTTTGAGAGTGGGCGGCATACAAACTAAATAAATAAATAAATAAATAAATAGTGGCTAAGATGCTAAGCTTGTTGATCAGAAAAACAGCAGTTCGGTGGTTTGAATCCCTAGCGCCACATATGGAGTGAGCTCCTGTTACTTGTCCCAGCTTCTGCCAACCCAGCAGTTCGAAAGCATGTAAAAATGCAAGTAGAAAAATAGGAGCCACCTTTGGTGGGAAGGTAACAATGTTCTGGCTGCCTTCAGCGTTTAGTCATGCCGGCCACATGACCACGGAGACGTCTTCAGTCAGTGCTGGCTCGTCGGCTTTGAAACGGAGATGAGCACCATCCCCTAGAGTTGGGAACAACTAGCACATATGCTCCAGGGGAACCTTTACCTTTAAAATATGAAGTAGAGACAGTTTGCTGCAGTGGTGGAGGTATTGACTAGAAACTGGGAGACTGAGTGTTAGTTCTGCCTTAGGCACAAAGCCAGCTAGGTGACCTTAGGCCAGTCACCTTCCCTTAGCTCTAGGAAGAAGGCAATGACAAACCATATCTGAAAAACTTTGCCAAGAAAACTGCAGAGATTTGCCCAGGCAATTGCAAAAATAAAAATAAAATACCGATTCTGAGGCACCCACAAAATACACATAGCACACCAATAAAATATATGAAAAGAACACTGAAGTTCCAAGCAAAACAAGAGAGAGCAAGAGTTGCTCAGGAAAGACTTGCGAGAGATCCCATAGAGATACCTTACATTTGTGACTATCTTTCAGTTTAGCTAAAATCGGCTTGTCAGTTTTGGACTGAATAAGATCCATTTTGTCTCGCAAGGCGCTATCTCCTGCACATATGGGAGTGTAATTTGAGGTATTGGAAGGTGTTTGTGGTATACAGACGTCTATTTAAGATCCATTTAGGACAAAAACAAGCTTGATTCCCCATGACGGGGCTTCAAAAATAGGTTGCAACAGACTTTTTCAGAGATGGGTGTTCGATTTGGGGTGGCCGAAAGATATTTCCGTATCCAGTTCCTTGCTCTTTTCTTTCCCAGATAAGTAGATGTACATTACGAGACCGCCCAGAGCTTAATTTGGAAAGATATTCCTGTGTCCTCAATTGACTGGAAGTTTATTTTATTTAATTAAACTTAATTAGGTTTCAATGTCATCGAAGGCGATTGTGCAATTCTGTTTTCCATGCAAAAAGAGCTGTTTTTCCATAAAAGAAAATTTATAATTACCTTGTAAGATAGTACCGACACTCTAAAACAGGGGTTCTTCAAACTTGGCAACCTTAAGACTTGTGGACTTCAACTCCCAGCTGGAGAATTCTGGGAGTTGAAGTCCACATGTCTTAAAGTTGCCAAGTTTGAAGAACCCCTGCTCTAAAACTGCAACCCGGCTTCGTGGAAGAAAGTGAAAAAAATTGTACCACCTGAACAGCCAATAAAGAAATATAATGAAGAAAGGGGGCGGGGCTTTTATTTGCATGTTTCCGCCTCCGTTCCCGTTTCCAATTGGTCTTCGCCTTTGAGAGGCGTGCTTAGCGCGTTGCAACGCCTTTCTCCCGGATTTCATTGGTCCGACGACGTCAGTCGCAATGGTGCCCGCCCCTCTGATAAAATGTCAATGATATTCTGGAACGCTCGGACGCGTTCCATTAAAGTTGTGATTGGCGGAGTCGAGGCTTCTTAATACAATCGTAATCGGGATCCTGTTGGTCTTAAATCGTTCCGCACCCGCCCTGGAAACACCTGCTGCTGCTCCGAAACAGGACTGGCCAGATTGCTTCGGGCTAGTAGTAGTCCCTCCGAAGTTACTTGCTTCCCAAGACTTCGCATCCTTCGAGTAACTCGGAACGCTCTTGATCCCGGTAGAGATTCTTGGGACGTTTCACCCATCGAAGAAGAAACATGGACAACGGGGGAGGGAGCGAACCGCGGCTCTTGCCACGATTGTGCTGCCCAGAAAAGGGACCGAACGGTTACGGCTTCCATCTGCACGGGGAGAAGAGCAAAACAGGCCAGTTCATCCGGTTGGTGGAGCCCGATTCCCCGGCCGAGAAATCCGGTCTGAAGGCTGGAGACCGCTTGGTAGAAGTGAACGGAGACAACGTGGAGAAGGAAAGCCACCAGCAAGTAGTGAACCGCATACGAAATTCGCCCGGCTCGGTCCGCTTGCTGGTCGTGGACTCGGAGACCGACCAGCATCTGCAGAAGCTGGGCCTCCAATGCCGCGAAGAATTCATCCGTGGGCTGCCTGAGACGCCCGAGGCGAGCAGCGGCGAACAGGAGGAGGAGGAGGCTGTCCAGCAGGACCTGGAGGACGAAACGAAAGCGGATGGGGAGGAAAACCATCACGCTGCCCAGCGGGTAAAAATCTAGGTCTCGTTCGTGCGGGGGGAGGGAGAGGTTAAGCAATGCAGGTCGAAAGGCTGATCTCCAAACGCGACAGGCAGAAATACAACAGGCCAGGACTTCCCATCACCGAATCGGTCGGGGCTCACCACTTCGGGGTCCCCACCCCCACCTTTGCGCGAGGTTTTCCGAACGTGGCACTGCGGTGGCCGGCGGAACTACCGGACACCCCACTGAATTTCTTGCCAATCGCTGGGCAAAAAAAAAAGCAGCACAAAATCTCTGTTGGGGGTGTGATGAAGGAAACCTAGGCTATATACAATTAAGTGGGTTGGGCGAGGATTACACACGGGAAGAACCAGGAAAGCACGTTAACAATGTTTAGTGTGTGTGTTTCCAAGCAGATCTGGTATGACAAGTAGTAGAAGGCGCCTGGAAGTAAGAGCTAATGAAAAGTTTTGGCTGTTGGTTGATAAATGGCAAAAAAACAAGCCCCAACTCCTTCTTCACCCGTTAATTCCCTTGCTGCGTTAGAGATAAGGTGGTTTCTGTTGTTATCGATGAACTGCGTTACTCTTTAGAAAGCAAAGAGTAGCCATGTTGACTAGAGAGGGTGGAGGACGCGGAGGGAGAGAGATCCAAGGGAAAGCAGCAGTTCTGTGGCGCCCCTTCTTCCCAACCGGTCCGGGTTGTTGTTGTTGTTGTTATTAAAAAACAGCAACAAACTGGTGGGAACATCAGCCTGAAAAAGTCACCTATTATTATTATTGTAGTTGTTGTTGTTATTATTATTATTATTATTATTATTATTATTATTATTATCATCATCATCATCATCATCTGTGGGTGGCTTTCGACGGGTGAGAGCCGGGCAGGAGTCCTGCTAGCAGCCACACGGTTGCGGGGTGCTGCCTTTGCCTCGAGGCTTGCGGTGAAGCTGAGGGCAGACTTCGGATGAAAAATTGAGGAGAGGCTCTGCAATGTGAGCTCTGCCAATCTCGGATGTCTGCTGCGTTCTCAGACTTACAGAGATACCCCCGTGGGAAGAGAACCGGGCATTCCTGGGATCCCGCGGCCCAAATCCAGTTCGGAGTGTTCCTTTAAAGCTCGGGGAGGGGGTGTTGTCCGTGCCTCCCTGTGTTAGATCGGCGGAGCGGAAAGAACGTTCGAAGAATTTGATCCTTGATCGCGTCGTTTTTCCTCCTGTACCTGAATTAAGAGATTATGTGGTGCCTGGTACTCTTTGTAACAACTCCGCCTCCCCTATAAAACTTCTTTTTTAAAAAAATGGTACACATCAAAGCTGAAATCCTCTTGGGCCAACTGCCTTCAATCTGCTTCATTCCAGATGTGCTAAAGTTACATTTGGGAATTGTGTTCCAAATCCAGAGTGTGCATTATTAAAGAAAAGACTATCTTTTCCAGTAGATACTAGAAAAAGTGGGGGATTGCCTTCCACTTAAATCATCCAGTGGTGTGCTTTACTGCACAAATGTAGTTAGGTCACCTTATTTTACTTCATTATGTCATCACATTCTATCAAAAGTAAAGGTGTTTTTGTGTGATAGGACTGCCACCTTATTTTCATGTGTGCTAATTTCTTTCCTCCTTTGCTACTTTGCTAAATCAAGAGATGAATTTATTAAGTTTTTTTTAAAAAGCTTTAAAAATAATTATCACCTTCCTGCACACTTCCTAAACTCTGGAAGGCATAGAATAAATCAAACCAAGTACTTACTGCTTATTGAGCTACCATAACCTGGTATTAAGCATTTGGTGAATTTGTAATTGTCTCAGTGAAACTGGCCCCATCTTGAGCCCTGAAGGGCACAGAGAACTTTGAATTTTTAAAAGCAGAGGGGTAGGAAAAAAGAAACTCAGTTATCTGAACAAGAGGCTGGAACTGTTGTTTACTGAAACTGAATCTTGTTTTCCTACCCATTTTTTAAACATAAATCTATTTAAGTTTTTTTTAAAAAAAATTATTTCCCTAGATAATTTAGTGAGCTCAGGTCTTTTCTGCTACTTTTATACCTTTTGGATTGCTTTATAGAAAAATTAAATCTGCTCCACTGATCTGAGAGGTAGATTTAATTCCAAGATATGACCAAGTACTGCTGATCACAACTTGAGGAAGAAGATGGCTTGGTCAACTTGCTGAAACTTGAAGCTAAGCTGACTTTGGGGAGAAGATTCAACAAAAGGGTGCTGTAACAAAAAAGGCCCTGTTTGGTGTATTGGCTTAGCCTCTCCTAAGGATAGGCCATAGGTTAGATCGTACTTACATGCTCATTCAGCTATTAAGACCTCACACTTTTTTTAAATTGATACCTAACATGGATTAATATAAATAACAAGATTTTCTCTATAGTCTCCAAATATATAAAATGAGCTGATGAAAAAACAGCTCCTTTACTTTAGAATCCTATTAAAATAATTTTGATTGACAAGCCTTTCCCTCTCTTGGAAATCTAACCCTCGAGGTCTTGTGATGGATATGCCTGCTTATAGATTTGTACTGGAGCATTTTTGACTTCCCCTGTTAACAATGAACTTTTGAGGGAGAGACAATGGGCTTCAGTCTTTTGTTGTATGAACCTTCCTTGAGATAGCGCCCAAAACAAATGTAGAGGCCCACTGAAACCATTAAATTGAGTTTTAAAAACTGAAGCAATCAATGAAAGGTTGCCGATAAAACCAGCAAATAGATCATTGTTAAGTCAATAGTAACTCCCTTTATATTCCAAGACATTGCTCTGGTACTGCTTTCTATTTCTGATTTTGCTTGAGAGGAGTCTTAGGAACAAGGATATGAACACTTGCTGAAAAGCTTGTTGCAACGCAGGGGAGTATGCATATGATCCTAGATGTTTGAAATCAGGATTAGGGTATTTGGAGTCCTGATTGTGGTTAGGCTGACAAAAAGACAGGCTCTTTGGAGCTCTGGCCAACATGGAGAATGTGTTTACTATTAAGGATTGATCAAACTGGATTTAGAACAATATGGCCAGCAACAACTTTCTGGGAAATAGAGAAGTAATTTTCCTTAAAAAAAAATAAGGGAACGCTGTACATATAGGGAATGTAGAAGAGAGTGAAGTACAGGCTTCCCATGAACAAATCAAGTGATTGTGATAAGTGCTGTAATACAAAGCTCGATTAGATTAGTTTTAAGTCATAAATGTCTGCTATGGGACTGGGGAATTCCTGACTTTGACTGGATTCATATTTGTGGAGAAATGGTTATAGATAAAGGCTAGCAGGGATGTTTGAAATGTACAGCTGGAGTATTAGAAAGGACACAGTTTGGACTTGACCAGCTTTGGAATGTTTAATACTGGTGGGCAGTCTGGTACCTTTTAAATATTTTGGACTACAGCTGCCACAAAATCCCTACTAGACATCATCTTGCCTATATCTCCTGTCCAAAAGGTTGGGGAAAGGAACAGGATTGACATTAACTGAAGGGATCCCAGTCATACAGAACAACAGTTCTCAAGTTGCAAATTTGGACTTATCACTGAACCTCAGCATTGGCTTATAAACATTCCTGCTTCTTCATTCTTGATTTCAGTCTAATATAAATCCTTAGCTACATTCCTACCCATTCTACATTCTTGGCTGCAGCATAGATTGATTGATTATGGGCCATCAAACCAAACTCTTAGCAACAACATACCAGTAGGTATGTCCCAAAGGTGCTTTTTTCAAAAGGCAACTGGAACTTTCTGGGGTTTTTTTTGAAGACGTTTCGCTTCTCATCCAAGAAGCTTCTTAAAAGAAAAACCAAAAACCATTTGCCTCTTGAAAATAGCACCTTTGGGACAACTGTGACCTGGATGACTGAGAGTCTCCATATACTTGTCCATAGGTAGATTTTATCCAGGAGTTAGTACCAATATCAGCTGCTGTTGCAAACATATAACTGCATATGTCTGTATGTGTTCAATGTGAAGACCATATCTAAGTTGAATTGATATTTTGATATTTAAAAAGTTTAGATGCCTTCAAATCAGTTTAGATGATATTTTACTGCATTTGAGAAACGTCCCCCCCCCTTTGGAAATTCAAATAAAACTGACTTGATTTGATATCTTGATTTGAATGTCCAGATCAAATCAAACTGGTTTTCCCAAATTAGACTGATATTCAAATAGCAGATTTCCTGATTTGAATAGACACAAGAGTCCACAGTGACATGAAGCTTCAATGACATGGAAAGTTGATGAAGAATTGCAGGAAGATACAGATGCAGAATTCAGTACTTTTATCCCTCTGAATATTGTGGTAGGAATAGCCAAAGTATAGGCTGTTTAATTGGGGCACCAAATCTTACAGACTCCACTATGATCTATTAAAAAAAAATCTTGAAGAAATATCCTTAATATGCCACAACCTATAATATTTCGTGACAAAGAAAGAAAATTACGGTACCTTTATTGATTTGATTCCTGTTTCTTTAGGCTTGATAGGTTAGAAATCATATGCAAATCACTGGAAGCAGATAGTCAAATCTGCCTTAGTTAATGGTTACCTCTTGGGAGGGGGGAGGAAGGGGGAGGATTCTCGCCATTACCAACAAACAAGGGTCCTTGATTGTTTGGAGCTTCAAGGCATCTGGAATTTTGAAAGTGTATTATGAGCATTCTGACAAAATGGCTGCTAGGGAGGGGATGAGCTAGCCCACAAACACCCATTTATGAGAAGGTTGCAGGAAAGCAAGTGTGGTACATTTGTTCCCTGCAACATTCTTGACCACTCCCCACAGAATAAGTCTAAATTACTGCCTCATTTTCTCTGTCTTCTGAGCATGCCAGCTTGTTTTCAATAAAGCAATGTCCTGCAGCTACTCATCATATTTATTTTCTAAGAAGGCTTCTGGCCCCCCCCAGAAAGCACAGCTGGGAGCTGTCAGCTTCCCATTTTTATTCCCATTTGAAAGAGAAGATCGATGAAGCAGGCAGAAATTTACTGCTCCTTCAATGCTATTATGGGACAAAGTAAAACTAATTGCT